TTTTCGCAGACGGCGTCCTCCTCAGCCTGCTGCTCTAACTGACAGCAGCGGTATTCCTGGGTGAGTGTTGATGAGCTGGGGTTTTATGCTCTATCTAGTTTCTTCTCCCAATTCTTCTGAGTTTGTTTTTCCACTCATTTACCCAAAGTGAAAAACGCTGCTCCTGGTTCTGTATGGTCTGTGTGTGAATGTTAAGGGTTTGGAGCCAGTGTTTGAGTGACAGTTGTGTTTAGTTTTTGTTTGTTTTTTTCTTCTAGTGGTTTCAAGAGGAATTACTGTGACTTATTTACCTCACACTTGGACTCTTTTCTACACTGGGAATTTTTTTTTTTTTTTTTGCACTTGGACTCTTTTCTACACTGTGAATTTTTTTTTTTTTTTCAATTGCTCGGTCCAGATTATGAGCTTTGCCGTTGGAGCTGTCACAGGTTGGAGCTCGTGTATCGATCTGCTGTCACATCAACCCGCCGTCTTCTGGAGGGGTTTGGATACCAAGGGTCATGCCAGTTTTTCATTGCAAGGAGAGGCCGAGCGTTTCCCCTCTTCACTTCCTGCTGCCACTATGTTTCTGTAGTCAAAGAGGATGCTGGGAGATAAATTTAGACCTCCAGCTCCTCTCCATCTGCTGTTGCTCAGAGTAGGCTGGTTTCCATAGGAACCTGCACCAGGCTCCAGCCAGAAAGAAAAAAATTGGAGGGAGAGGGGTGTGTGTGTGTGTGTGTGTGTGTCTGTGTGTGTGAGTTAGGAGTGTGTGTGCAGTATGACAGCAGATTTTTTAAAAAGCACTTAAGGCTTTATCTATTCTCAGGGCACGATGTAATTTAATGTTTAGCCCATATTTTTATCCATCATTACCAGCTGCACAGATCCGTCTGGGTATTGATGAGGAAATGAACACTACCTCTGCTGTCCACGCTCTCCTGTGAACGATAATGACGTTTAAACTGTACGGCTGCAGCCGAGACGCCGCGCTGCCTGAACAGGAGACGAGCTCAGTGTTTGTTTTATAGGACTTAACACTTTTGGCAGTGTAAGTTCCCAGCTTGATGGAGGAAGACTGTGTGTGTGTGTGTGTGTGTGTGTGTGTGTGTGTGTGTGTTCTCTGCTGAATGCATGTGTGCATGACGATATCAACCCTTCTGTGTGTCAGTGTCTGTTTTTGCTGACAAAGCCTCTTTGCTTGTTGCATTTTAACACATACACGTGTATATGTGTGTGTGTGTGTGGGTGGGTGTGTGTATGCACATTACTCTCCCATCCAGGCTCTTTTCCTCGTAGCCCACCGGTCATTAATCACACTTTTGGCGCAGACACCGCAAAATGTTAGCACTGCAAGCAGATCTGTGCGCAGCGTAATCCTGTCACGTGAACTGGAGCTGGACGACGGACGTCAGTGTTTTGTCAACTCTGTCTAATATTAGCTTTGTGGTTTTAATCTGACACCCCCGTCAAAAGAGCACAACACTGTATAACAGCTGCATCAGTGGCTTCCGCCTCTCACACCTCAACCTAAAAATAGCGCAGAGAGGAGCACGCCCTGCCCTGCTCCCATCGACCAGATCAGACAATTAAACAGAACCCGTGTCTTTTACCTTGTTTGACCGTAATACAATCGTGTCTCATTGAGCGGTTTACTGAAGGTGTGTGTGTGTGTGTGTGTGTCTTTGTGTGTGTGGGGGCTCTCATCAAACAAGTTATCCCTGTGTGGAATACGGATGACGAGAGAGGAAACCCCCCTCGTCCAACAGCAGGAGGATCAGCTGGGCTGTAGCAGCCGAGGTCGTCTCAGGGCACTGCAGATGATTGGCTCCCTAGAACCGTCCGAAAAGACAGGGACGTTTTTTCTGGCAGATCCTCTGCAGAGAGTGGTGTTGTGTTTGTGTTTGTGTGTGTGATGTAGGCAGTGCATTTGTGTTGTTTGGCCTGACGTAGGCTAGACTTTGCCGTTCCTTCCCCTCATCTTTCTGGCAGAGCCGTGAATGTGTGTTTCCTCAAAGAGTTGGCAGTCTAGACTGCCATGAATAATGTAAGCAGCGCTTTTCCCTCAACCTTAAAACCTCGTTCTGCGCTGTTTAAGGGCTGCATCAACAGCAATGCCAAAGATCATTAAATGGACACTCGGATAACCAGCTGCAGGAGTGACAGTTATTACACAGAGGTCGAAGGAGGCCGTTCGTCTTCCTCTTTGTATTTACTCTTCAGTCCTTTTGGACCCTCAAATTTTAACCTTTTATTTTCGGTTACATTCAGTTTTCATGTTTACATTGTCTTCCACACAGTGTTTCTGTTTTATATATTTATCAAAAACTTTTTCTTAATCTCACAGACACTTCACACTCACTATCCAGGTTTGACACCTGTGTCCTTGGCTTTCCTAACTATCAGGCCACTGACGTGAAGGATTGCCAGTTTTGCTAACAGATTATAAATATCTGGCTATTTTTAAGTCTTTTCTAGTTATACTCAGGCCGACCTTCAAAGTCCTGAGAAACGTGTGTAACAATGACTTGGCCATTTTTATGATCTGGAGCAGTGATTTTCAACTGCTGTGCTGTGTGTGGTGGAGATCACTGTGCTGCTGATGCTGTGGTAAATCACCCAGTTACTGAAAATATATAAATTTTTTTTGCTGCATTATTTGAGACAGACAGTTTAAATATTCTTACACCAGGTGGCAGCAGATAGCTATACATACTTAAAAAAAAGAAGTTGTGTGTTTCTTTCTTTAATCCCTGCGAGAATATCAGTACGGTGTTCAACTAAACAGACCAAGGTTTTACACTAGGTAAATAGTAAAATGGATTTTTGTATCATTTCCAGTTTCTAAAACATAAGACAGAGTACAGAAAAACTCATATAATACCACAGGCAGCGTAACATTCAGTGTTTTAAAGGTATTTAATGCCTCAATTTTCTCTGCAAAATTCAAGTGTGAGAGCGTAACATTCAGTGTTTTAAGGGTATTTAATGCCTCTATTTTCTCTGCAAAATTCAAGTGTGAGACAGCGTATTCCTAATCTTTGGCTCCATCAAACCATGATCTCACTTCCCTCTGCGTGTCTCTGGAGAGAGTAATGTGTCTCCTTCTACAGCTACAGAAAGAAAAAGAAAAATCTTGAGCTTTCACCACGTATGACGTTCTCTGGTCCAGAACTGTCGTTCAAACGCCAGCGAGCAAAGACCTGAAAGAACTGAATTTTAATGGTTCTGATTTCCTTGTAACGCTGTCTAATTGCGTGAGTGTCGAAAGTATGAGTCTGCTGCAACCAAAACACTGGTGTGCTGGGTGGAACGTAGTCCAGACAGATGATCAACCCTCACAGATGTGTGGGAGCACGGAGATGGAGCCGAGAATCTGTCAAGATTTTCCAAGAAGCTGAGTGATTCTCGTTCCCTTTTTTCCAGTGTAGACTGGCTCTAACGAAGGCTGACTGTGCTGCATGTGTTTTTAGACATGCGAATAGAGCCAGTGTGGCTCATTATAAAAAAAAAACCTGTCACTGCTGCCTGGCCACCTAAAGCTGCAGTCTAAAGCTGCCGTGCATGTTTTTGGAGCTCACGGATCACTGTTTTTTGTCTGATCTCCAGTTTTTATTTTTATATTACTGCCTGTGTTTCACTTTTGTTTTTTTAAATACGACTAAACGCTCGTGCATTTCCATCTCTTTACGGCCAGTTTTCTTGCTTTTGCTCTGCATCAGTGCAAAGCATTTGGAACCACCCTCTCTCTGTGTCTTCTTTCTGGGAATATTCTGACAGTCGGTGGCTGTGTGTGCTGTCTGCACCATTACAGCCCTCTTCAGCTGTGAGGTGAACATGCACAGTGTCCTGCCTCGCTGAGCACTGATCTCCAGAGTCTGACAGAGTCGGGGAATTGCCGGCAGTGTCAACCTCTTAGATGATGATTGATACAGTGGTGAGCCTGTGCTGGGACTGTCAGCAGTTAGGCACACATGACTGCTGAGTGAAAATGTTATGATTGGCCCCATCCCCTCGCAAAACGTGTTTTGAATGGCCCGGTTACAAGAATCCTGCGTCTGAAGTTGAGATGGAGTGCAGAATTTGTAGTAAGTGGAAAAGATTACCTAACATACATCATGATAGAGGAGCAGAATTCATTTTGGAGTCATCTTCCACGGTGTTTCCTGATCATCTGTACTCATAAACACAGCTTTCCACTCCAGCCGTGTGTGAGCCTGATATTTTCACATCAAACATTTCAATGGATCCAATTTAATAAAGGATTTCAAAGTGTGCATTCACAAGACGGCAGCAGCTCACACCCCTGAGTGTCCCTCACCCACTCACTCCTCACCCCCCCCTTTTTTCGCCCCCTTCAGCTTCAGTGTCAGATCAGATAAGTGAAGTGTAGTCTACATGTATTTCTGATGTTTGTTTTGACTTTCTGCCCTGACCCTGCGGTCTCCTCTGTTAGCACAGTGCTGCTAACGTTGTCTGACTGCTGCTCCTCCGACTGCTGCGCTGTCGCCCAATAGATACATGAACAGATCACATAAAACTGACATGACTAGAGGTTAATGAACAAAACAATAAAGGCAAGAGTCTGTATATTTTATATATGTATGTATGAACATATATAGACACATATATTACATGTTAATGGTAAACTGTACAAATATATTTATTTATTGCAAAAGTTGAAAATCTCGTTCTTTTTAAAGTTAAAAAAATCAAGATCATAATTTAGATTTAATTTTAGGAACAGCAGCCAACTTTTCTAGACATATAGTTTGTAAGAGTGAAAACTGAACTGAACAATTAATGACTCATGCAGTAGGTTAAGCACTGTCAAGGTAATGGAGTAAATCAGAATTTGTTGATGTGTTCACATCCCAAAAGTTTGAACACATCTGTTTGTGAAGAAAGTTAATGATGTTAGAGAAACTTTTAATACATATTTTTACAACCCCCCCCCCCAACTTTTTTATTACAAAACTTTTATTAAATCTAAACTCCTGTGTTCTTCTGCTTTCTTTTAGATCCCTCTGAAGTTGCACAGCTAACCTACTCGACGGCCAACATAGAAGATGCAGACAAGATGTTGGCAGAGTTGTTAGGATGGCTGAGGCAGGACGGAAACACAGCGGCGTTGTGAAGAGAAATGATCCATGTTTACCTGCATCCATGCAGCTCCAGGGCACCATTTAATGATGCCTTGTTCAGTCCTGTTGAATAACTGTTGGCCCACACTAAGGAAGGCCCTCTGTTTTCATTTACGGTCCAATCTGTTGATGTTCCCCGCCCTCTGACCTCTCTGCTGCCTCGCAGTTAGCCCCATGAGGCTCCAGGAGCCCTTCCCTGCTTGTCTGTGAGGCCTCCTCTCCACTCTATGGAGGCTGAGCCCAGCCGCTCAGCTGATGGGCAGCGCTCTGAAAGGCAAGAGCTGCAGCAGCATGTGACAGCTGAATCCTCACAAGGATCTTGTCCACTTCAGCAGCCGCAGCAGCCTCTAAATCCTCGCCCTGTGCACAGAGCTCTGGGACGCCTGCAGCATCGCCAGCCCAGACGCACTGACCTTCTGCTTCGGTTGCAGCAGCAGCAAGCAATAGCATGGCAGCACTCGGAAAACCCCGGTCCCTCTGGAGGCAGCTTCTATTCTTCAGCTTCAACCTCCTCTCTTCAATCTACTCCCTCCACCCTGGGTGAACCAGGTTCATTGGCCCCCTCCCAGTCCAGCCAAGAGGGCACAGAAGGGGGCAGCTCATCCAGAAAAGGAGAAAAGAAACCCCAAAAACCAGGAAAATATGTGTGTTCCTACTGCGGCCGTCCATGTGCCAAGCCAAGTGTTCTTCAGAAACACATTCGCTCCCACACTGGAGAGAGACCGTTCCCGTGTGTCCCCTGTGGTTTTTCTTTCAAGACCAAGAGCAACCTGTACAAGCACCGCAAGTCACATGCTCATCGCATCAAAGCAGGATTGGCATGCAGTCGTGATGAGCCGAGTTTGAGTGGACCAGAGGGCAGCGGTGTTGGTGAAGACCCTGAGGAACATTCTGAGGGAGAAAGCACCGAGTCTGAGGAAGAGACAGGACAACACACCAAGTCCTCCTCAAAGGAGACGATGAGCCAACAAAGGAAAGGTGGTAAGGAGGGGCCCGGGGCCTCAGAGGAGATACAAAGACCTGAGGACTCCCAGGCAGTTAAGCAAAGGTTGGCACTGAGGCTCAGTGAAAGGAAGCGTGGACCTAAACCTTCTCCAGACGATCCATCATCCTCCCTTTCCACTTCATCTTCTTCTGTAGGTCCTGGCAGTAAAGGCAGCACAGAATCTGGTTACTTTTCAGGATCTGGAAGCACTGAGTTGTCCCAGGTTAGCCCCCCTAGTGCGAGTGCCAAAACCTACGCTGAAATTATTCTCGGGAAATACGGAAGACTTGGAGGACAGCAGCGCACCCCCCTTCAACAGCACCCCCATTCCTCTGTGTCCTCGTCCTCGATAACGGAAGAGAAGAGCATTCCTTTCACTGTACAAAAAACCCAAGTTATAGAACACATTACGAAGCTCATTACTATCAATGAAGCAGTGGTGGACACCAGTGAGATTGACAGCGTGAAGCCACGGCGCTCCTCTTTGTCTAGGAAAAGCAGTATGGAGTCGCCTAAATTTAGCGCCCCTAAAGATCCTTACACATTTGATCCCAAAGGAGAAACCCCAGGACCCAGCGGTTTGAGGCATCTCCTGAATCCTGAGGCCGAGGCACCAGGCACTCAGGGGTTGTCGTCCGTACCTCTGCTAAGAAGCCAGTCAATGCCATCGTCTACCAGCCAAGGAGATCCTTCTACCTCCGGAACTAATGCACCTAGAGGTTATCGCCTCTGCCAGTCGTTTGATGAACAGCAAGCAATGGTAGCAGAGATGAGGGTGGGCCATGCTCACCGTATGCTCAAGCGCCAGCCTGCCATAGAGGTCCCACTGGGAGCTGAAGTTATGCTGGAAGAGGCTGGGCCCCTCACCTCCTCCTGCTCCTCCTACTCCTCCTCAGCCAGGCAGCAGCAACAGCAGAAGAGTCACAGCCTGTTTGAATGTAAAGAATGTGGAGCTCACTTCCAGTGCAGTGACACCTATGAGGCCCACAGAGTTGTCTGCCCCGGGAAGAAGGCACAGGAGCAGGAGAGCAGGAAAACCTGCAGAGAAGATCGCCCCCCAATGATGATGCACTATAAATTCCGGGCACTGGCAATGGCAGTGAGGAAGAGGAGGAAAGAGGAGAGTCTAGAGGAAGATCCTCCCAGTCCTGGACCAATGTCCACGTCAGGCAGCTCTGCAGGCCACGCTCTCATGTCAAGCAGAATGGAACACCACCCACCCCCCTCAGGTGTGTGTTGAATCCTCACATCCTTTAGTTTCAACCTGATCTTAATTAAACTGTAGGTGGTGAAATACTCAAAAATTGGAAAAAAATGTGTATCAATGTATTCTGTCAATGACAAATTCTAACGCGGAAATCAATATCATGAAATGATAAAAAAAATCAATTTTTGTACGTTTCCAGGTTCCTTACAGACTGAGCCAAAAGAACAGCAGCAGGACAGGAAGGGAGTGTCTGTCATCCAACACACAAGCTCCTTTGAGAAGCAGGAAAGTGTGTCCATGGAAAGTCAGGAACCAGACCTCAGAGAGCGTCAGCAAACACAAAAACCCGAGCCAAAACCATCACCCACTACATCTCGCCTCATCCGCCAGCCAAATATCCAAGTGCCAGAGATACTTGTTACTGTGGAGCCTGATGCTGACATGCCATCTGTGACATCACCAGTGGCAGCTGCCACCTCCAAGGTACATGTATATTTAAAGATTTATGTTTTGTATTCACAGTTTATTGAGTCTTTAAGAAGGTTATATACAGAATGAATGAGTTGATTGTTTATCTGTTCTAGGAGGCAGAGAAAATGGAAGAGTTCCAGTGGCCTCAGCGTAGTCAGACGTTGGCCCAACTACCTGCGGAGAAACTGCCACCAAAGAAGAAGAGACTTCGTCTGGCAGAAGTAGCTCATTCCTCTGGCGAGTCCAGCTTTGAATCCGTGTCTCTGTCACGCAGCCCCAGTCAGGAGAGCAGCATCTCCCACACTTCCAGTCTCTCCGCATCGTTTGAAGACACAGCGAGATTGGAGCCCGCCGCTTGGGCGGTCGGCAGCCAAAGCTCCCAGATGTTGATGGTGCCACCTGTTTCCCACCCACACCACCATAGTCACAAGGAAATGAGGCGCTCGGCCTCAGAGCACACGCCATCCAGCCCTCAGCAAACAGAGCAGAGCTCAGAGAGCAGAAGTAAGTCCTTTGACTACGGCTCCCTCTCCCCTCAGCAGCAGTCCACGTCCTCCTGGAAAGAAAAGAGAAAATGTCTGCTGGTGAAGCACGCCACCTTAGGGGAGCCCGATCCAGAGGAAGGAACCAGCTCCAGTCAGCTGTACAGAGGAGAGGGTCCAAAGTGTGGGACGTCCCATTCCGTCCTTCCTCCCCTGTGCTCAGCTGAGGGAAGCCCTCAGTTCAGCCTGGAAGAAAAAGGAAGAGCTCTGCAGCGTTTACAGTCACCGATCTTCACACCCCACCCAGATCTGCAGCCCTTGAAGCCCAGAGGCCAACAAACATTCCCTGCATTATCACAATCCCAGCTATTCCCCGTCACTTCAGCCATGTCTGAGGTACTTTCCACAGAGATTGTTCACAGAGCTTTGGTACAGTCTCATTCAGGACCTGCACATTTACAAATACACCCAGCACAGATCCACATGGCAGAGCAGCTGGGGTTTCCACTCCATCATCTACCAGCTGTTGTTCCCTTGCACTTCCCTTCCAGCACTAGAGTCAGTGAGTCTCTCTGCTTGCCTGTTCCTCAAAGACACATCACATATGTTTCTTCTCCTTCCACTACAGACAGCAGACCCTCCGTCATGTCTGTGTCTTCTGACCGTGTTCATCAGTCCTCGGTAATAGCGCCCTATCACCACCCGCGGCCAGTCATTGCGACATGTTTGGCACAGCTTACGCCGGTCGTATCTCTCGTGGTTCCTGTGCGCCTCCAGACGCACATACCTACCTACGCCAGTGCCATGTACACCACTCTGTCGCAGATCCTAACCTGCACGCACTCACAGACAACCATCTCCTGCACGGCCATGGCCATCATGGGCCAGGCCGAGAGAGAAAAACTGCAGAGGTCGTACTTAAAAGTCCCATCTCCAGACATTATTCTTCCCTTGTCTCTGTCTGCTGAGCTGTCCTCAGGATCTGGTGAGGCGTACGGTCCACTGGGGGCTGGAGGGAGCAAACGGATGCTCTCTCCTGCTGCAAGTTTGGAGCTCAGCACGGAGGCTCAGCGTCACCTGAAAAGGGTAAAAGAGGAAGAGGAGGGGGAGAAACATAAGGAAAAAGAGGAGGAGGAAGAACAGGAGGTGGAAAGGACAGAGGGCGATAAGGTCAAAATTAAATCCAATGGGAGAAAACTGGATTTGGGAAAGAAGGAACACTCTCTAAGGGTCAAAGTAGAGGGGGAGCAGCAGAAAATGCCAAGGAAACATAACAAGGAAGAAAGGGAAGATGAGGTGAAGGAACTGGCTGAAAAGTCCGGTCAAAAGAATGTGGCAGCACCTCTGGTGGTAGAGGGTGTGGAGAGACTCAGCCTCCCTTCATTTCCAAGCCTTCATACCTCCACCTCTGTCAACTGGTGCTACCTGAATTATGTCAAGCCTAACCCAGCTGCACAGAGGGACCCACGCAATTCTGTTTATTCTACCTGGAGCATAAGTGCTCACAACCCCAACCTGCCTGGCCTCAGCACTAAAATGGTCTTGTCTCTACTGTGCTCCAAACAAAAGCACAGCACAGAGACGTACACCATGGCCACGGCCCCACAACCAGCCAAACACAGCTCATGCGCCGCCAGTAGCAGGAGTCCTCATTTGTCAGAGGTAAACACTGCAAATGTTTTAGTTGAGATATTTTCTTCATTTCTGTCACTATGGACAGAATGCACTTTTTTTTTAATATTTAATTTTTTTTTCTGTAGGAATAACAGTGTTTTAATGTTGTAAATAAAGTTCGGTTTTGAAGCAACAGTTATGAAAGGATCAACATGAGGGTGGGGGGCCCTACATTTGTCCCATCTGAAAAAGCAGGGGGATTTTGGAAAACCACTGCCTTAGTGCAAGATAATACCCCGGGGGTTTCAACCAGTCAGATTTCACCTCGATTTCCTTCTGGGGAAAATTTGTTTTTTTTGTCCACTGTGTATTTTTTTTATTTTCTGATAATATGCATGCTCTTCCCTGCGATTCTCCGGTTTATTTTAGATTATTTTTAATTGGGTCTGCTCGTAGGTATGTGCCACTTCACCTAACACTCCCACTGAAGTAAGGGATCAGCAACAACAGCAGCAGCAGGAGAGGGAGGAGCCTAAAGAGAAGAAAGAGGAAGGAGCGCCATCTACTTCCAAACAGGGCGAACCTTCTCGTGTCCGCATCTTTGAAGGCGGGTAAGAACTAATAATAACACCTGTGAAATGCACCGCTACTTATTAATAAACCCAACACTGGCGGCACCCACTAGTCATAGCATTCTTCAGTTTTACACCAACACTCTGTGACAGCAAAACAAGCAAACATGGAGCACCAACAAGAGAACCACAGGAACAGATGGGACTCAGTGGAGTCGGCACAGGCTTGGTTTGAACCTGCAGCCAAGCTCTTTCCTCTTACTGCTGGCATAAACGCCTGCATTTTAATACTCATCAGAGGTGTGTGAGCACAACAGTGCATGTGTGTCTACACCTGTCTGCATATGTCAGTAACTCACAGTTGGCCGCTGGTTTTACTATTCCAGTAGATTCCTCAGTAGATCTGCCCCAGTTCTTCCATGTTTACTGCTGAAACGTGCTGCTCTGTGCAGACAGAGATAAAGCAGCGTTAAGACAAAGGAAACACCACCGCTCCAGAGCGGAGAATGTGCCCAATTAACAACAATTAATGGTGTGAGTTTTCTGTCTATACTTACACACTGAGCGTGGAGGAGTTGTCTTCCTAATCATAGATAAGGCACTAATTACCAGTTTTTATCACTGGCAGACACATTAGACACACTCTCAGCGAGTGCGTTCTCAGTTACGGCTTTCTACCAACAACCTGCTTCCCTTGTACAAAAACCCCTTCCCTATAGGCAACCATTTACTCTGGGAGCTCTGCCACCTTCACTTTCCTCANCACCCCGGGACGTCCTGCTGCATTTTCGTCATGCATGCAAAGAATGTTTTGTTCCCTGACTCAGTTAGGACTCATTATTCTTATCTCTCTTTGTCAGCACTTTGAAATCATGTCAGTGACACTCATTTCTATTCTGGAGAACAAGCAACACTTTTGCGATGAATATTCATGGTGTAGCGTGAGTTTTGGAGCCAGATATCGAACACATTTTCATCGGGATCTAATATCACAGGTGTCCTAGACAAACAAGTCAAGTTTATGGTATCACATGTATACACCATGACATGACAGACTGAAGGAATCGAACACGTTAAAATTCCTCCAAACTGATGACATTTTTGTTACTGCTTGAAGAAAGCGTCCATCAGGAAACTTTGCTCAAAGATATTGATTGGATGTAAATTCACAACTTGGTCCGTCTTCTACTGCTAAATCTATTTTTTTAGGGTTGTGAAACGCTGTAGCCAATTCTGGCAACTGCTGACTGTGTGGTGTGGACAGTCCACCAGTCCATCACATGGCCAATATTATTTCTCTAGACAATAATTCACTCATATTTTCTACTCCAAATAAAAAAACAAAGCATTTGTGATACAAAATGGAATAAAACTCCATTGTCTACTGACATATTCAGCTGTTGCCTAAAAATGTACTGTATTAATTAGCCAGTGACAGTTTGTTCCAGTCTGACATGGCGTGTGAAGCAGAAGCGCGAGCCGTGACAGACTGGTGGAGAAATTCACTGGGATTTTATGTATGACTTTAAATCTGATCTTTGTTTTTCCCTGGAAACACATGCCAGAGAACAGTAGCCTAACACGAAATAAAGAGACAACAAAATGCCTCAGTGGGGACCATTTCACGTTTGGGCTGTGATTTGTTCTGAACGTATTTGCTGGTTCCACAGAGTTAAAGCTGGGCTTATTGTAGAAGTGCACGTTCTGTGATTAACACAAACTTCACACACTAGAGTTTTACCATCCAGGCAGAATTGTGAATGTTTTGTTGGAGCACTGGAATCAGACGGAGTTGTTCATAGAGGACAATTCATTGGAAGACTGCGGTCCAGCATGTCCACGAATAGACCTTTGGTAAACACCAGGATGTGTGTAAACAATGTTTTTATAGACTCTGGGTAAATATGTTATTCAATTTTTATATATAGTTTCTATTTAAGGGTGTTGAGCATCCAATCCCCCCCCCTTTAAGCTGCTGTTGTTGTTGGCAGAGACACCTGATCACAGCAGAGGAGCTGGTATTTTCTGTGTGCCCAGGGTGTAGCGGAGGGAACAGCCCAGGGACTCACTGTTGCAGGGGTTTTGGTGGGGCTTTCCCAACAACCCTCCATAAAGAAACCCTTGTGTTTATGTACAAGTGTATTTGCAGACAAGTGTGCAATATTTAATGTGGCAAAACCACGTTCAGTCTCAGCTTTTTACAACTTTTTACATGACAAAAAAAGGTCAGATGTGTTTTGGAAGATGAATCTACAAATTAATCAACAGACACGTCCAACTAGTTTTGTCTCTTCATCCCTTAGTTATTTTTTTCTGTTTCTGAATAAAAAAAACAGTCTTGATGATCTTAGCGTCACAGTTTTTATATTCTGTTGTTAACACTAAAGAATAAAATAGCAACATTTTAGCAGACATTCATTTTCTTTAAACATATCCTAAAGAGTTAGGAGCTGTTTAAAAACTTTGATTTGGATAAAAACCATTTACTAAAAGATTGTCACTTGTTCATAACCAAACAAAAAAGCATTTCTATCTGCTGTGTTCTATGCTAACTGGTCAGCGTACTGGCTCTTTTAACAGATACATTGAAATTGAATAGCTTTGAATTCACACACACAAATCAATTAAATTGATTGATTTATCGTTCTCTTTTCTTTCATAATATATTTTTAGGTATAAATCCAATGAAGAGTATACATATGTGCGCGGGCGCGGCCGAGGGAAGTACATATGTGGAGAGTGTGGCATCCGCTGCAAGAAACCCAGCATGCTGAAAAAGCACATCCGAACACACACAGATGTCCGTCCCTACATTTGCAAACACTGTAACTTTGCCTTCAAAACCAAAGGTAACGGAGGTGGATAAAAACGGTTGTTTTCATTGTCATTAATATAGTATATACTATATATATATATATATATAAAAACCTATCTGTGTAATAAACTGTAATTACAATCTAGTTGCTGTTTTTAATGAGTTTTTGTATGCGCATGGTTGAGTTCAATTTTCAGTTTGCTTCTCTACTCCTTACCTAGGAAACCTTACCAAACACATGAAGTCGAAGGCTCATGGGAAAAAGTGTCAGGCGATGGGAGTATCTGAGTCATCACTGGATGAGCCAGAGAGTGAGGAAACAGGTACTTGAGAGGGCATGGGGAAACATCTCGCATATTTCCTTCCCACTGTA